TACAAATCACATTTTCTCCAAATGCTGGCAGTTTTTTGGAATGTTAACTATGATTTTATCTTACGAGACAGTCAAATAAAATTTGATGATAACTGACAAAACTGAATTTCCAGGTTGAAGAAATCTGAAATACTCGACCAAATTTGTGGTTATTACTATGCAACAATTAAAAAATATATCTCAACCGCAAAGTAACAACAGGGTCTGGTGAATAAATATAGAACTTCAGTTATTGCTTTTTTAGCTCAAGATTACTGTAACCTTTAAAAAGACTTTTCATTGTCATTTTGCTTTCAAATGTGAGTTACTAATTTTTTGTTTAGGGGTTCGCTTACTGACTACTCATAAGTAACAAGACAAGATCACGAAACATTTCGTGCTTCGTAGTTTGGAAATCCTTTAAGTTCACAAAACGAAGGACTTTTGCTGAACGTCTTTTGTTTTAAGGTTTCAAACTTATTAATTTTCTTCACACTTTCGAAGCGTAGTTACCGATCCATGTTTAATTTCGTGTATCAGATCCCAGTCAAGTGTTTCAAATGTGTTTCGCATCAGTCAACTCGGAAAGTATGATTCATGTGCACCCACTCAGGTACCTGGTGACATCAGAGTTATCTTGTTGGTTTCGGTGTTTCGCTGGTTACTAGAGCTGAAGTTGCAATACACAGCTGGAGCCTCATCAGAAGTCATTTGTTCACCTATGAGTGAGAAGATTCATAGTTGTAAATAGATGGCTTGAGGAAAGCTTCCTCTTAATCACCTATTTTTGTTCCCCTACAGATTTCAGTCAAAACACAACTGAAATGGTGTTCTACCATCTTTTGAATGATCTCACTAGAATGAGGCGCAATCCACAGATATCTTAGTTGGAGATGAAAACCTGATCATGCAAGTACAGTGTTTACGTTCAGAGAACAACCGTTTCAGTAATTAGTGTGGAGTATTTACTTGAAAGTTGGATTATGCACATAATCCACAGGCTCACGCAAACTGGAACTTCGTCTAGTGAGCACCACAGGTCTACTCAGAAATCACCAATGTGGTACAGATCACTGATTTTCTGCAACTGAATATAGGACTCACATAGTTCTTATTGTAGTCGATTACTGATGAAACATGTGGACACAAGACTACTATGTATTCTGAAGCTTTTCTTTGAATTTCAGTCATAGTTTAGTGAACCTAGCTACTATTATTTTACACTAAACCGTAAAATCATTGGCCGAAATATGCTGATGTAAGCAAATATGTTGCACCTAGTGAGATAACTAAATATCAAACCTAGCTAGATTCAAAACCTTTGTCACAATGTCGGAAAGCATTCCCATGCGTCGACTGAATCTTCAAGATGCTATAAAAAGTCACCCTTATCTTCAAAAGACATTTCACTCGTGAACACTGAATGTTTTCAACTTTCGAAACAAGTCAGTTTACTCAATTGAAAAAAAAAGCATAATAATTTCCATAACTTTTGTGAGCGAAAATTGTGTAATTCATGTGAAAGGACCGTAATGCTTAATCAACACAGTGAGCAACTGACAACTACATCCAAAAAGAACAAGAACAGGTTCTAGTTCATCTAAACCGTTAACGTCTAGAACCTTCGTACTGGTGACATGGTCTGTGAGGTATATATTATGCCTTAGTAACAATCTCGGAAGATACTTCAAACACTAAACGGAGTACTTCAAAATACAGCTTAGTGGGCATCCCACAACAGCAGCATTGACTTCAATAGGTCGCTGTGCGGTCGGTTATCGCATACATACTAGACAGCCACATCGACTACCCACTAATGACTAACTTGTGTACACAATCCAGTCGTAAAAGAGGTCGATTTTGACCTGAATAGCTGAGCTGATTAACCTCTGACTTCAGCACTGAGTGGTGCAGGTTCGAATCACTGACGGAACATCAGTTTACTCATCGGTGCAGATACACCTTCCTGATGAGTGCTAGAAGGTGCGAAGTTCGGGTTCAAGGCTTCATGCCGATTGACTCACACTGTGTAAAATGTTATTAATGTTTTTGTTCATTATTATTCTATTATGATAAGAATCAACTTTACTGACATCTTCAGGCAATGTGCACTTATCACGGACCAACATCAGTTGAAGAATCATTGAAAACTTGGAAGAACTGGACAGTTGTTTCGCCTTGGTATGTGACTCCCCAGTAGTACGCATCTATGACCCAGTTGGGGAGCGAACTTGGGACCTCCAGGTCCCACAGAGACTGCGGTAACTGTGCAGCCACTGGGTCGGAGTTCAATGGTCTACAGTTTCCTACTTTATCAATTCGTAATGTACTGAGACTATCCCCCAAGGTTTTCAGTTGACATCCCTTCATTTCCGACTGATTGACCCATAAGGTCATAGTTTCTCATTCGGACTTCGAGATATCCATCGAAACATTTCAGTAATGAGCACTATACAGCAGTGTAATTTGATTACTCATACTAGAAGGAAACAGCTGCCCAGTGCTACCAGGTCTTCAAAGACCCATGATGAATACTACCTTGAAATAAATAAAATCCCCATAAACCTCAAACCAAATATGTACTTAATTAGAATACTCTGGTAAGGAGGTAATCTTCTCAGAATAGTGACTATCAGTATCAATTGTTCAACGGAATTGGACCAGGAAATAAATGTTTAATATCTGTTCCAGTACGGTTGCAATAATCATGTCTCCCGTACAGTTTAACTAATCCCAAAAGCCGCTGTCGCCTGTAGATGAATATATTACATATAGCAGTTAGCTGATTACAACTTGCTGATTAGCACACATTTTCTGATTCTCATTTATTCATTCAGATAATTTAGTCTTCCAAATAAGAAGCGAATAGACACAGACAATGAACATAAAACAATGAACCATAGCTCCACAATTCAATAAACGAAGCTTCAGTTACCAATCCCTCTCTTCGCCTACCAAAGTTATTTCTTAAAGTCACATATAAACTTTTGGCCTCATCAGTCTTCAACAAACTAAATTCATTTTTCTATCTCTTGACTCTATAACTTGCATATGACAATTACCCATTCATGTTTTCAAATGTTCTCCTGTTTCACGCGTAACTTCGAATCTAATAAGTGCTTATTCTTTGAATATTAAATTCACATGTGAGTATGCAGCTGGGGAACTATCATTTTGAGATGGTTTAGTTAGAGAGAAGGTAAGCGGAATCTAAAGCTTATCGATCTATCATAAACCAACTCATTCCAATCGATATCTTCATTTCAACTAAATGCCAAACTTTCCCCAGCATCAATTGATCAAATATATGTTATTTAGTTCTGATTACTGACAAAACTCAACCGGTAATTTTGGGATGTGATCACCGAGCTACGAAACTGATCATCACCTTTCAATTAAAACCAAACTTTCATTTTCTATGAATTTAGTCGGGAAAGTGCAACAAGGCTTGTAGAAAATGACGAAGATAGACAAACGATAGTATAGGAAACAACAGATATTTCGCATTCCAGTTAATATTCTGTGAATATCATCTACAGGTTCTTAAATCACGACCATATAAATGCAAAAAAATCAAATAGTGAGTGTTGGATCAGCACCAGGTTGAACATGAGGATGGTCACAACATCAGATGGAGGTCGTACTATATCGTGAACCGACAGAAGTAGGAAATATGGACCACTGGATTCCTACCCAGTGGCTCAATGGTAACGTGTTGGCCACGGGACCCTAAAGGTCCTGTGTTCGATCCCTGGCAAGGCTGGGTCATGGGTGCGCACCGCTGAGAAGTGCCATATTAGGACGAAACAGCTGTCCACTGTCCCCGGGTTTCCAATGTTTCTCCAGCTGGTCTCAGTTTATGATGAATACCAACCTGAAATCAACGAAAAAAACCCCATAAACCTCAAAATTGAATTAATCTAGTGCTCACTAGTGACTAGCTTCGATAGGTGATTTCCGAAGTTCCAATGAGAATTCGTGACCGGTGGAGTCAATCAAGTCTGACATGAGGACAGTTACTCAACGGCACTGGACCTAGGTTTCATTAATTAGTCAAACTAAAATTTATGACACCGAAAATCTATACCCATTTGATGGTGAACTTGCATACTAAAGATATAAGCATAGGATACAAATAGATGCAGAAGGACTCATGAGCACAAAATTCAATCAGCACCACTAATTTATCAAGCGGTATTTCCTATAAAAGATTATCGCTAGATAATGTGTGATTTGAAGTTAAGAAAGGACTGTAACCTGACGCTACCACAAGAGATGGTGTTCACCATAGGCGCTTCAACTGTTTGTCAATATTTTTATGAAAGTAATTAGTTCCACCGATAACCTTCGCGAAATAAACCATTTTTTGAGAATTTACTTCATATAATTGCGACGAAGGTAACACTGTTATGTTCGGCGAAGAATTCACGGGGTGGGAAACGATGTTCCAAAACATTTTTTTCATTTGACCTGCCGTGACAGGATATAAATTTAAAGCCTTAAAGGTTACTAGGAAGTATATTATTTTTCTAAAGCAACTATCTACTAACAAGCGATGAGAACAAGTAATGAGTATTAAAATCTTTCCAGCTACAGCTGTAAAAATGCAAATAAAACCCTATAACCTGAAACTGTTATCACGTTTCTTTTATGTGAACAGAATGAGAATCAGTGACATTGTACATTCTGGAACAAGAGATAAATTATTGGTTTGCTTTATTATCCTCTACAACTTAAAATAGCTGTCACACATTTCCAACAATCGTTTATCCTGTCATCTGCAGAGGAAATACGCTCATACAGCTTCTGAAAAACAATCATGTCAGCTAATTTGAGCTATATGAGACGATCCAGGCTGTAAGGATAAATCTGACCTAATGTTAGAAACAGTGAATTACAAAGGCAATCATCCAATAACTGTTTCGAGGTTTCTTTATATGAAATCTAACTTTTCGGCTTTTTTCCTTAAGTGTTGATAGATAGGTCTTCATTTGTCAGAAATATAGTCATAAGCGGTAATTCATAATCAGAACATTGAAACAATATATTTTCAAATTTACACCAGCAATAACAATATTGAGATACAACAAAGGCAATAATGTTATCTAGAGATTTACTGCAGGTTAGGAGGTCGATAAGACTGATTCACTTTGCTGAAGACTTAGATCCACTTCGACAACCATTGCCGTTGTTTGATGCATGAATGGACGTTGCCTGTAGAAATTCGATACTGCGCACTCTCTAGCCTCTGGCCATTTACCCAATTCACTAAATAACAATAATCACAAGAATGTGAAAAATTATAAAGTGAATAATTCGGCACAATTCTGAAAACTGCAGTAAAGCACAATGGGAAATATTTACCCATAAATCTAATATTATCGGAAAAATGATGATGGCAGTAATCACAACAATGCTAGTTAGTAGGAGTAATTTCCGTACTATTGTCTGACATATAAGAATTGCTGAATTTTCGACAAATCTTCAAGTTCACCAAAATTACCTTTGAAAGAGAAAAGTAGCGTACATATATATATATATATATATATATATATATATATATATATATATATATATATATATATATATTGGCGAGGAATTTTTAAGCTCGTGTGTGGACGTTAGGAACCTTTTAATGAAATTAGGCTGCACATGTTTTCCAGCTGTAACATTTGTCAGCCGAAACAACAACTTCATTCCAGTGTGAAAAAAGCTGGGCTTACGAGGGGCCATAATTAAGAATCGATAAAAGTGGCCTACGACTCAAATTACGGTGACGCCGTTAAGAATCTGTTAGTAGTGATAAAAGACATTTTTTGAAAGGTTTTGAACTTTTACAGACTAAGATGGCTTGGATATTTGTTGCGCGCATACCAAACCATCATCACCACCACATGCCTTGACGTACAGTTTTAACCAAAGTGGGAGCTAGGTTGGAAGAAGGCTCAAGGTGGTTAGACCAGAAAGTGGCGCAGATCCATGACATCTTTGACAGTCGATCTGAGACATGTAGGGAGGTGTGCACTGCTCTGCTTGTTCGGAGTTCTCAAGATTATAGGAATCATAGTTGAAGACTCTTCGCAACATGGCCAAAAATCGGTTACAGTGGTGTAAATGCAATCACTTCTTAACGTCTTCTAAAGTTTGACGTTTTCACTAACCTTTTTCTTCAAATTGTTTAGCTGTCACAACACATTTGTTTACTTTAATTTCACTTTTTTTCCATCCTTTTGTTGTTTGCATGGTGCTGTGAAGTGTGGCAAACTGAACCGATGCACTTTTGTTCGAGCATGAACCCTGAACCCGAATAAAGACTTTCTGACTTGGCGTTCACAAACCTCAACTCAATGCTAGACACAAACTAACCACAACATGCAGGTTTCAGACTTAGCTCGGGATGCATTAACTGGACTTTTACTCTCCACCTGGAACACAGACACAGTTACCTTCATCCGGCACTAGCTGTGTTTCGTGACCTGAACGGATCATTCAACTCTGTCGAAAGAGAGGTATTATGGTAGTGTCGGTACTGAAAGGGGTGTCGGGTAAATACATTACTCTACTAATGGAGCTGTATTCAAACACGTTCGGGTGTGTTATGGACTATAGTGAGGTATCAGGTGAGCCAGTGATATCTATTCTATTTATTCTTATTTGATTTTGTTGTGCATGTGCTAATGGTGGTCCCCTCTGAATAGATAATTTTGAGGGGACAGACCTAGTTGCAGGAGACTTACTATACAAATAAAGTAGGCATACGAAAAATTCCTAGATAAAAATGAGCACTAGGTGCAGTTTTTTGGACAGTGAGCGACAATTTGAGAATATTTTGATGCATTCCTAACGATCCTAATACAAACTGTTGCTCCAGGATTGGTCTGTTTCAATTTCCGTCTGATGTTGTGGAGTGAATCGGTTGATTGTGTCGACCACTTTAATTAAATTGGAAGTCAGATTAGTCATGATGGGATAATGATCAAGGAAATCTAGGGAGGGATAAAAAAGACTTGATCGGCCACCAACTTACGACTTCTATGGCACAGACAAGATATCCGATTGTTTATTAAGGGTCATATGTAACGCGCAGAAATTCACCGTTCCACTATATTTCTGTGAAACATAGTCAATAAAAATGGAAGACAAGAGAAGGCTTCAGATGTTCAAACACTGTTGCCCTCGTAGTATTAGTTGTGAGGTAGAACCAACTGGTCCGTAACGTATCGGTTAGATGTTAAGTCTTAGGCAGAAGGGGTAGGTCCGTTGGTAGGTTGTAAACTCTCATCGACTCAGATGGTTGGGGCATGTGTTACGCATACATTGTCATCGTCTACTACAATACATAATATTAGGGGGTAGTAGGTTTAGGTAGGAAAAAGGTTAAGGGTGGATACACTGGAACATGATATTAGCTCATGAAATCTCCGGCTATCAGTATAACTCGTATGGGGAAATATAAGCTTCCTAGATAAGTAATGATGAATAGTGGCTAGCAGTGGAATCCAGGGTGTTCATTTCGTCCTATTTGGGACTCGTTAGCTGGATGCACCTGCCTTTTAAAGTGTTGTTCCCACCGCGATTAGAACTTGAGACTGATCGCTTCAGGTGCCAGAGCGTTGTCCGCTAGACTACCAAGTGCCAAATAGGACGAAATAAGAATTCCTGGATTCCACTGCTAGCCACTATCCATCATTACTATAATTAAAACATAGGTATTATCGAGGCATCCGCACAGGAGCCCATAGGCCAATAGAGACCGATCAATTCGGTCCAACCAACGACGATATAACACAAGCAGTAATAATAATAATTCCTAGTTAGGGTTCGCATGACAATCATAATTGTGGGTTGGGAACTCTACGTGACATTAATTAGAATAGATTTGAGTGTCAGACGCATCCCTATATTATATTCATCTCAATCGCCATGTTACACTTTGCTATTTGTTTGATCCCCCCCCTCTATTATTCTCTTATGAATTCCTTACTTCTCTATGTTTCATCTTGTTGCCATGTATCTCAAATGCACTGATACGAGGTATGGTAAGTCAGACAACCACGCAGTAAGTTCAAGTTCAATGATGACATTGAATGACTGTAAATTGTTGGCCAGAAAACCGACGGCAGGAAATAAGGCACATAAACATAAGAGCCCAGTAACTCGCTAGGTAAATTTATTCAAAAGTCCATAAGAAACTGTAAGCATACTACGTCAACTAAGGGTGTTTAATTATAGTTACCCAGTGTTGAAGACAAAGCAAATAGGATCCCAAAGTTAGGCTTTGTGACTGCTGAGTTACAGCTTTGAATGCTTCTTTGATCAATTATGTTTTCATATATGCAACTTTATGTAGATGAGCTATTCCACTCAGGAAACAACTGCAATAAACTCAAGAATTGAACAAAAATGTGATTGAACTAGGGAGCTGCAGTGGTTGGGTGTGGCTGCCGATAACAGCGAAGACCTAGGGTACGATGCAAATTTCCAAACTCAGACTCTGAGTAGGGCGAAACTGTAGTAGGAATAAGGCTAAAAATATACGTCTAAGAACTAGTAATGAATAAGATATTCATATAATAACTGAGGAAACCACATAAACATATTAAATTACCGATATATTGGACGCGTGTATTTCATACGACCTTGACTGTTTAGGAATTCGAAAATATGGTCCAAAGCAGGTAGGTGACGGGAACGTATGCAGATTAGAGACCATCTAAAAGTAAAGAGGAAAGTAAAATTTAATTTGTCAACAAACGTTGTCGATCCACTAACTGATGGGAAACAACGAATATGACAGTAGTCAAGAATGCAATCGACTTTTTCCTTGGTTTATTTCCCTGGCTTTACATCATAAAAACCCTCTGGAACGAAGTGCTTAGGACGAACTTTTGGTTATGGACAGTAAATCACAAGGTAGTGAAAAATGATTAAGATATTTCATATTTTATAAGCAGTTTATTCCTTCTCTTTTCGAACTGTACGATTTCCTACATTTTCAAAGACTTTTTAGGGCGTATTCTCTGATTTAAACAAAACTGATATTCGTGACTTGACCTCCTTTTACCTGCAAACTGCCTAGTTGATTCTGTTATTTCTTTAACCTTTGTTGCTTTCTGTCTTTTAACACTACTGTGAGATGCTTAAGACCATACAATTATGGAGATTGTGCCAACAGAAAATAAGATGCATCATTCGTTCACGGTGAATCAGTTACCCAACTGGATCTTAAATATTTCTCCCTTATGAGTACCAAATCGAGGCATTCGTCAACTATAACTGCATGAGAACATTGGTTGAGACTGTAGTTAAAATCGATTCACATCAGAAACGATAGGGAAGCTGAAAATAAGATTAGTAACCCGCCATCAGTAGTTGTACCAGTGATTGATAGAAACAAAAAAAAACGAGTACTTATATACTTATGCATGACGAGCTGTTTTCATTAGATTCAGAGGAATAATAATTGGGAAAAGCCAGACGTAGAACAGAAAAACACATATTGCAACCAACCATAAGATTTTGATTGTCACGAAGATTTGCTTTACCTAGGTTTCGTGCCTGCTATTACTCATAAGCAAGGTGTATTTGAAACCATGAGGGTTTCTTCGATGATTCGAACCTGGTCATCAAGTGTTGAAGTCGAACTCGTGCAGCAAGCTATTCAGGTCACAACTGGCCCTAATCGGACTGCATTTTGATGCCAAACTCTATAGTTGTTTTCCATACAACGGTGGACGGCACACAGTAAAGATATCCAGAATAGGAAAATATTGAAAGTGAACAGCAAACAATAGAATTCTTACTGCACTCGTAATTCTGCGTTTCTTTGTTGAGAGAGCTTCAAAACTTCATCGATTTTGGATAAATTGTTAATCTCCACAGGTTCAGAATCGACTACACGCCGAAGAGTTAGTTCCCGTTGTACATGTGACATATTATTCCACAAATCGACTACACTTTGCATTTGTGCATTATCTGAATGAAGATTACATGAAGTAAGCAACTTCAGTAGAGTATCGCATTCTGTAAATAGTTGACCAGCATCGAATCTAGAGCAAGGCAGATAATAAAAACATGGAGTCTCTTAATATTATCAGAGGGATTTTTGAGGTTTAGTATCCCATGGACATCGTGGTAGGATATCATTCTATATCCGACATATCGGACAGTGATAAAGTGTTATTAACTACGTTTATTTCCCGAAACACGAGTTCTTAAGTCAAAATATTTGGGAATAATTTGATTCTTTACAGAACGCATATTGAAAATCTGATGATTTGTGAATTATGCTTCAATCTCTGGAAGTTCATGAAATAGTACAGCAATTACTACGTGCTGTGTTGGACAAACAAATCTAATATAGATGTAATAAAACACCTCATAATGACCCTTGAATTCTTCACATAAAAGTATTGTAGTTAAAGGACTGGTAAGCCACTATCGTATGGCATGACAACACTTCTTCAGTACTCAAAAAGTGACAACACATAACCACGGTTATCACAAACTTCAGGATTAAAATTTGACCTGACAGAGTTGAATAAGTTGAGCATTGGGTGATTGGATTATAAATGAAATATATTTTGTAAAATCCCAATGAAGTAGAAACATAAATTTCTGACGTCTCGCGACTTCGCGGAAACCACTTCTTCAGAGAATAAAACCTGTACAAGTTATCGATAGTTTACCATAAATAGTTTTACTATTTAAACTATCGATAACTTGCACAGGTTTTATTCTCTGAAGAAGCGATTCCCACGAAGTCACAAAACGTCAGAAAATTATTTTTCTTTTTTATTGGGATTGTACAAAATATATTTCATTTATCATGGTTATCACAGTTTATAATCCTGATAGGAGATGAAACTTTAGCTGTATCGATAAAAGTGGGTGACATAAAGAATCTTGGTATTTTAACGCTGATAGTTTGAAAGTAAAACTTACAGTAGAACCATCAACACAGTTGCATGGTATTAAGATGCAGAACCTCCAGTTAAGTCCTGAACGCTCAGTATCTGAAACGGTTTACATAAGCAGATCACACGTCCTATATTAGTTAGACATTAAAGATGGGAGAGAGAAAGCCTAAAAAGAGACTGGAACGACAGACAGCCACAAATCATGCAGTAATCGACTATTGATTTGGGTCGTGTACAAAGGTGAAGTTGGTTAGATAGAAAGGAATAGTTGAGTCTAAAATTAACCTAATGAAGTGTAAAAATACATTGAAAACATATGCAAATGAATTGCAAGCGCTCTCACTTGGGTACCCACGGAGGTAAACCTGGGCTATGCATCCATACATCCAACTGATTTTTTGGGTCAAGTATGTTAGAGCCTACTTGGGAAGACAAAAATTCCAACCAGTTATTTGAATCGAGTGACGATCCAGAGAATTGTTTCACATACGACTTTATCCAATTGAGCATAGTTTCTGAATGGTGTGGTTTTGCACAAAAAAAGGATAATTAAATTATGAAAATTAAACTAAAGAAGAATGTTTGTGAATTAATAAAACAAATGTGACTGGTTAAGCGAAAGATCTTGATTATTTAACCAGATGCAGCTAATTTAGTGGACTTACTGCTAATTCTGCATCTCTCTAGGTTTCAACGGGTTCACATATAACAAAATAAATATGGAACTATTCTTTTTTAATATGCAATCTAGAGAAGATCCGTTTCGAAATTAAAACTTACGGGATATATTTATCTTAAATGTTATTTAACTCGTAGATAACAAAGTCATGTAAAGCTAATCAGAACATGACTACTTATTAAAAAAACGCCAACTCTATGTGTTTTATATCGCAAAACGATCTGGTGGGAGCTCATTAGGAACATAGAATGCAACCTTTAAGAGAGTAGAAATGAGAATTGATAATTAAGTTATACAAACAAAAGCAATTAGTGAATAAAAAGCACACTGCAATCCCAATACCATATGGGATAAGCGTTTCTCATGTCATCTCCTTAATGAATTTTTGAGGCTATAAGTTATGGGCTATTCAAATGTTGACAGGCGGAACAAGGTTTGAAACCGTTACATACTGGTAGGAAAGTTGAGTGCCTAAATTAAAAAACCGCAATCTTACTCTTAATTCAGTGATCAGATAAGAATGGGGTAGCACCTTTGTCGATTACACGGAGAATGCTACTTGCAAGGTGTAACCCTCTCATTTGTGTAAGTTTCCTGACTACAAGTTGACTGCACTTTCTACTAAAAAAGAAAATTGGAAACAGCAATTATTTTAATCCAAACCCAAAGTCTCATAACTTTAAGTAGGCAATGGGCTATACATAACCATGACAAAACAGCATAACAAGACAGTGTGAATAAATAAAAAACTGATTAGCTTACCTTTCCCAAGTAAAGTCTCTAGGTAGAAAAGAAACAGACATCCCTTTTCATAGGGGATCCGATTATACGATTCATCTGGATCAATGCCTTCTAGATTTGGAATAAGCTTTGTAAATGGGTGCGATTCACCCAGTCTATTGACCTGACAGTTTTGGGAAATAAAAACACACATTCAAGTAACTGTAATTCGCCTCATTAATGAGAGTTATTTTAATTACAATGATACTTCATAATGTACATGCAGACAATATCAAGTTTCAGTTATAAACTACACGAGGTTGTACCACAGCAAATATTGATACTACATGGAATTTATAATGAAGAATTCCAAAACAAAGCTAACAGTGTGCTATTTCTAAAGCATCGAAAACATCAAGTTTTATTTTTGCGAGTCTCTTTTGTTGGGGGTTTCGTTGTGGTATCAGCCTCGTCTGGTTAACTAGTTCAATAGTTACTAGCCGGTCCTAACCCCGGATAAAGAGGGAAGGTTGGACGAAGGGCTACCAATCCTAACACGCAAAAACCAATCTAACCGCTAACGAAACTTCAAAGAAAATATATAAAATAAAAATAAACTCATTCCTCACTGCAATCGGGAAGACAAAATGATGCCATTTGGTAAAAGGCTTCGGGAAGCCAATTGGCCGATGTGTCTCCTCTCCCTCGATGAAAGCAAAAGTAAACTTGGGGATTGCAAAAGAGATGAGGATATATAGCACGGAAGTGCTTGGAATCTGCGAGGAATCAGCAGATAGAATGGAAGTGGACTCTCCAAACTGTCAACTGCAAAGTCAATCATCTACTCTGATATTGTCACCCAGACGACAACCACAAGCACACTGAGTTTTGGAGTGGCTATCATGATGTCCCCTTGAAGAGCATAAAAGGCTCTCATGCAGTGAGAAGCAATCTCCTCCTGAAGGATCATGACAGTGAGATTCAACTCAAAAGGAAGGAAAGTCACAATCATACAATGCGATGCTACGCTACGCTATGCACCTAAAAATATTGCAGATGAAGAGAACAAAGAGGAATTCTACAGACAGCTGCAACCAGTACTAGACAAGACTCAAGTTGGCGACATCAAACTTCTAATGGATGACATGAATGCCAAACTGGGAGCGGACAACACAGGAAGAGAACCAACCATGGGTCGAGAATGAATGAGAATGGAGAACTGTTTGCATATTTCTGCGCATTTAACAATCTGGTGATTGGAGGTAGTGGGTCCAAACACAAGGTTATTTACAAGCGACATGAATTTGATTTCACCAGATGGGCACACTAAGGATCAGATTGACTTCATTTCAATCTCAAGAAAGTGAAGGCTCAGCCTACTGGACACAAGATCAAGAAGGGGAGCAGATGTAGATTCACACCACTCACCATCTCATACAAGGAACCTACCTTCAAAATCAAGTTGAAAACCTCCACACAAGTTGCTGATAGACCACAGTTCAAGTTGAACACCCAGAACAAAACCTGAAGGATGAAACTTCAAAGGATGTCTTCACGTCAGTCAGCCATCAAGAAAAATGGGAGACATTAGGTAACAACCTCGAGGAAACCTACGTGGAAGAACACTGGAACAGTTTGAAAGTGACGTGGAAGGAAACCTGCATAACCGTGTTAGGAAGAACGAAGAAGCGAGACAAGGAATGGAATGGATGTCGATGGACATATGGAAGCTGATAGAGCAGGAAGAGGAAGATGGTGGTGGTGAAGCAGAAGATGAACCAGTGCAGTGCAGTGCATGGATGAACAACGAAAAGAGGAACTGAATACAGCCTACGAAACACCTCACTGGACAAAGAGGTGAAGAAGAGTGAGCTCAAAGACAAAAGACACTTCCACGACACACATGCAAGTGAAGCAGAATAGGCTACAGGTAAAAGAGACAGAGACTTGACAACATTATATCAAACAACCAGGTTACTATCTGGGAAGAGATAAACACTGATGAAACCAATGAAAGATAGTGAAGGAGACTTAGTTACTGCTAAAGAGTAGAAACAAAGGAAACGATGGGCTGACCACTTCAGAAAACTCTTGAATCGACCACCACCACCACCCGCAGCTCGTCTAGAAATTCACCAGCAACCACAGAATTGCCAGTGAACGCAAGCCGTCCAACAAAAGTAGAAGTGAAATCCTGAACTTCATAAAGTTGCTGAAATCCGGGAAAACAGCAGGACCAGATGGGAATCCGCGAGACGCAGAGACAACAGCGGACTTACTCGCACCACTACTGTAGAAGGTTTGCAAGGAAGCAAGGAAAGGTACCTGCTGAATGAAAGAAGGGCCATCTTGTCAAACTCCCAAAGATGGGAGACCTAAGTCTTTGCAAGAACTGGAGAGGAATCATTCTCCTGTCCACCCCAGGAAAAATACTAAACCGCATCATCCTGGAGAGACTTAGTAGTGTTCTACATTCAAAAATTACAACCGGAACAGGCTGGCTGGATTCAGGAAGAATGAATCATATGCGGATCAAATTGCAACGCAACGCTACGCTACACATCATCATAGAACACAGTATAGAATGGCAGTCAACTATCTACCTTACCTCAACTTCATCGACTTCGAAGAGGCATTCGACAGCGTTAACCGATAAATAATTTGGCAGCCAACTGTTTCAAAACTACGGTTTTAGTGCCACAAACATTTGTCAACCTCAGAGAAGGAAGACGGGACCTCGTTCAGGTGAACGTAGAGAAGACAGAAGTGATGAAGTTACCCAGCCAACAGCAACAACAAGCACTAATCATCATCAACACGAGAAACCTAAAGGAAGTCTCTTTTACTTACCTAGGCAAGGCAGCATCGTTTCAACTACAGGCGGCACAGGCGCAGATGAGGATGTCAAAGCCAGGATCGGAAAGGCAAGACAGGCTTTCAATAATCTGAAATCAGTGTGGAGATCAACTGCATTCATCACAAAGAACAAGATCCGGATTTTCAACACCAGCCTTAAGTCAGTGTTCCTATATGGTTCAGAGACTTGGCGCATTACGAAAAGCATTTCCAACAAACTACAGACACACATCATCAACAGCTGCCACCTACGCTCACTCGATACTGAAGATCAGATGGCCAGAATAATAAGAACAAGCAACAAGGAACTCTGGTTGGCTGGCTGGCAACGAACCAACCAAGAACCCATCGCCTAACAAATATGCAGAAGAAAGTGGAGATGGATTGCGCATATACTGAGAAGACCATTCGAGGACATCACGTACCAGGCCAAGCCATCAACTGGAACCCAAAGGGAAAACGAGGGTGACATGGAGAAGATGGTGTAAGGAAGAAATGAAGACTAATGAGCAAACGTGGAGCTAGGTTGGAAGGACTGCAGAGAAGAGAGTGAAATGGAGACGTGCTACTGAAGCCCTATTTTCCACTAGGAACCCAAGGGACAAATAATAATAATAATAACAATAATAATAACAAAATCGTTGTGGTATCAAGTATCATAATGACTTGATACAATGCAACGATATGCAATACACTCAACTAGAAGACAGAGAAAAAGTTGGATAGCACCAAACATAACACATTGACATGTGTGAGAGTATTAAAAATAAGACAGAGGTAATTAGATTAAACACAAAGTAACGCTCACGCACTAGGTATGTTCATTAGGTGTTGAACAGATCGTGTCGTATGTTGCGTTCGTCTTTGCATAGGTTAGTCAGCTGTTCACATCTACAAAATTCTGTAAAACGTTTAATCACTAGCTCAGACAATACGCTTAAAGAGTAGGATAATAGACGTCATAAACCCACGGTAACCATGTTACAGAAATGAAATCGCAAACAACTTGCTTCGGTCACCAGGATTTTTTTCAAAAATGAATACCAAAGCCGAAACCTTTTTTGTAAAGGTCTAAACACCGGAAAAAGTGTATGAGTATACTTTGCCGTGCCAACCCCAGTTGAAGTTCGCATGACAACAGAAACCAGTGGTTAGAGACTCTAGATGTTATGGCCCAGAATCGCTGTTAGTAGCGCAGATACACCCGCACTATCTCAGTCTTAACCACTATGCTGAAATCAGCATTTTCTCATTTCCCTTCCCTCTCTTTCAATGCTTTTTACCGAATTTTTTTGTTTCTTCATCCCTCAGCTTGCTACTTTGTTAGATGTGTTGATGAAATGTGATAACTTAGACCAGTACGCTTTAGTGTCTGGTCCTATGTTGATATTGATGATGACTGTAGCGGTCTGCTCAAATATATGGGTTACTTAAGTTTCTATCCCATATAGTTCATCAGACTTTTCCATGCTTTTATTTGGTTTAGTTACTTTATTATATCATCTGATTTCATCGTATATCAACGTACATTTTGAAAAATTTACAACCTACTGCAATGCTTTTATTAAATAAGGTGAGGAAAAGGCGGCACGGTGGATGGCAACGTGCGAAAAGCATATCGGCATATCAGCTGCCCGGAAAGATATTAGCATTGTTCAGGCACCTAATCGGTGACTCCAAGAGTGTCTGAAATTGCATCCGCTTGCAGTTACTTCTCCGTTCTTGAAAATAATGAAGAAGCTAGTAATATTTAGGCTTGGATTCTCATTTAAGGTTTTCCGAGAACGCCGATTAATTTTCTTACAAAAGCAAACGAAGCACACTGGAGGCCACCGATTTCTTACATCACAATATTGCTTATAATCTTGACAGAAATATAAAGTACTTAACCTATTCGTTGTAGGCAACTCCAGTCGTGGTTATTAAAAAACAAATGGTCCCATCGACAGACCTAAATGCAGCTATAGAACAGCACCGTTGTCCACTGCCGGTTTTCCAGATGACTTGTTTAGCACCCTGAATGGCGGAAGTGTCTCCTCAAAGATCGGATAGTTGATGCATACCTATCTGCAGGTCTAAGTTTCAAATGAGTGCCTCGAGTCATTGACAGTAAACACACATCGAGGGTTATTTCAGTACAATAGGTTACCCCCTCTAGGGCTAAGGCAGTCCCCACCATATTCCAGCAACTAATTGACACTATCCTAGCATTCCAAAAGTTGCTACTTATTTGGGCGATACGTTGATAGTCGCAGTTCCCCCAGAAGAATTAAGAGAACGAATGCGGCTTGTGCTTCAGAAAATCGCTAACAATGGGCTACGGCTAAGAGCAGGAGAGTGGCAATGCCTCCTGCAGTCCTTAAAGTATTTGGGTTTAATCTTTTATGCGAGTGGACGGTGACCTGACCCAGAGGACATAAAGGCAACTCAAAAGATGCCGGTCCCGAAAGGTTTTCCGACGCTTCACTCTTTCTTAGGAACGATTAGCTACTAATCAGCCTTTCTGCCATCATCGCATAATATCCGAGAATCACTGAACCGCCTGTTATGAAAAGATCATCCGTGGGTCTGGTCCAAAGAGTGTGATGAAACCATCCAATGACTGAAGAGTATACTCGGTTCTGAATTGTTACTAACAAATTATGATGCAAAACTACCCATTATGGTCGCAGCAGACGCCTCAGCTACAGAAGTCAGTGCCACTCTATTGCATGAATTTCCTGACGGGACGCAAAAGGCTGTTATTCATACCTCATGCCCCCCTATCGCCGAAAAGAAGATTTCCGCCACGCAGATGCTCCCTCGAGTTTAATAAGCGACTAACCCTCATAGAAAAAAGATACAGTACTTGCGGCCGTGAAGACAGAAAGCTATGTTCAGAATTTGGCAACATGCACCATCAAGCAGCTGCCCATTACGCCAGAGCGAATAAAACAGGCCACAAAAAGCGATGAAATTTTGCAACAAGCTATGAGGTTCGTCCGAAACTCTTAGGTAGCATCAGTGTCAAATCATGACCACAAACAACTATTCCGCCACCGTCACGGTCCCAGCAATGTTAACGAGTGTCTAATGTCCGGACACCTTGCGAAAGACCGCCCTGAAACAGTACCGTAGCAGGCAACCAGGTATTGTGTGCATGAAGTCTATTGCCAGAAGTTATGCGTGTTAGCCAAGTATGGATGCTGATATAAGAATTCCTTAGCCGATGCCACTCATGGCAAACCGCAGTCGAAAATCCATCACGAGAGCAACCAGAAGCGTGGTCCCCATTGGAACCAAGGTCCTGACTACACATAGATTTCGCTGGACCGAAAGATGACGTGTGTTAGTTGGTTCTTGTGCATGCCTATTCGAAGCGGCCTGACCTTATTCCAATTACTCTTTCATCGAGCAGCGGAACCATAGCAGCCCTCACCGAATTTTTCGGGTGCGATGGCATTCGAGAATGTATTGTATATGACAAGGGCAGTCGACTCAGGTCTCAAGCACTTCAAGATCTATTAAGAGGAAACGGTATACAAGATATGAGGACGCTATGGTACCACTTTGTCTAACGGCTGGGTGGACACCTTAAAAATAACTATATTGAAGTGGGGAGGGGGGAGCTAGTGTAGAAATCATACAGCATTTCCTTTTTATGTACCGCAGAAAAAGCCACTTCTCTTGTGTTTTACAAACTCCTGTATTTTGCCTATTCTCCTCTATGGTTTTTTTTTCATTCTTTCCTGGGTTGTTGAAGAAAAAAACAGTGATATATTGCGTAGAACTTTGAAAATTGTCAGTAGAACTAGTAGTGCACCTCTAAACCTTCTAATTAAAACAGGTGAGAACAAACATATTAACTCAAGTATACGTCTGGCAGGAGTTATTTCATCAGATGATCAGCAGCTTCACTTAAAGCTCTTTGCCCGTCGGTCGTCAGGCAAGACCAGGAACAAGTATATAAGACCTTATGCACGAACTACTAAATATAAAAAAGCTACAATATCGTATCCTGTGCGACGAAGGTTAGAAATGAACTAATTAATCAACTTTTTTGAAAGCAAACTAATTAGATTACACAGCTTGTTATTATTGATGTATTATGAATCTAATTGCGAATATGGTTGTTCAACTAAGTTAACTCTGCATTTTCAAGAATTGTAGATGAAATAAATGTTCTTATCTTTTATACATAACTCCTACTTATTTCATTTTATTATGCGATACGTATACTGTTTCTGTCCAATTGCAGCTATATGACATGCTGAAAATTCTGTACAGAATTCCCATAATATCTTTTAGAATAAAGCCATTATTATTGTTATTGCTGCACGAAACTGATCACCATGAGGTAGCAGTTACAGGTCTGAAGGGTGAAACTAACTTATGGATTAAATTATGTTAGTCACAGTCACATTTGTGATTTCACTCTCATACTATGTATACTAAAAATCTATTCAGTAAAAGGCACAAACTGGTGAATAATGATAAGAAAAGCACACACATATATTTTTCATAAACGATGAAAAGATCTTACCTCTTCCTTAAGTTCGCTATAACCTAGACTTGAATGAAGATGTCTCATTTGTGAACCATACAGACATTCGATAATCAAGCGTTCCAAATACATTGTGTGTCCTTCATTCAACCAAAAATGCTCCCAAGTTGAATTTGTTACCAAATTACCAGTCCATGAATGAGAAATTTCATGAGCTATGACATTAGCTAACGATTGATCACCAGCCTGAAATAAAGTAACACAAGTGAAAAAAATAAATATGGAGAACTAGGAAAAAAAAAACTAATCTCTCTGAAAGGAGTGCGTTTCTCAGAAAGTGAAATCTCGAACTAGGTGACATGATATAAGTTTACTGTCAGCTGATATGAGACAAAGAGATAATAAAAACTTATGCTGAAATCACCTGATTTTTACCCAAAACCAATAAAATTGCTGTAATAAATAGAAGACCACGTAAGAACGACAGCTAGTAATAGGTAAGAATCCATGATTTTTCCAAAGTTATTCATTCTTGTGGCAGATGTATTCTTCTCACGAATTTCATGTTATACGCAAGCATCTCATCTACACTAAGTATCCGAAAAACATGATTCTGCTAAAGACACCAGAGAAGTGAAGGCAGCCGAACAAAATGAGCGAAAGTATGAGGAAGTTTGAGATGCTCTCCACAGTTATCAGCTGCAGAAAGATGCAATATTGTTTTGCACTAATGTCTGGTTCAAGCTTAGGCAGTGGAGCAACTGAACGAACAAACAGGTTGGAACATAGTTTATGTGTTGGAACCATGGAGTAGGAAATATCTTTTAATTTTTTCTCTCAGTTTGCTGCTTTCTTCTTTGTGCTGTAAAGAAAGACAGCAGCCTGAATCAGTGCATAACTCTGAGAATTTCTGTTTTGCTCAGCTTGACTGAAACGCTTTTTTTATCGAGTTCAGGAAAATAATTTCAATGCTTTATATCTTGTATGCTGTTAGGGGAATACGACCTGCAAAGAAGACAACTGATTTTCACAGTGGATGAATTTGAATGTAAACATTCTACGTTTGAGCTCTTGTTTTGTCTGTTTTCTCGAATTTTATTTCCGAAGAGTTATGTCTGATTTAGGCCCCCTACAGTTGGACGGAAAATGTAAAACGTTTTTATCTGCTGAAGTGACCGAGTGAATAATAGTAAACACGCGAACGATATTAACGAGATGTAACACTTGGATTGAATATGAACAGCGACTGTTCTCTCTCAGAACCTCATAGTTGACTGAGTCGCGAGAATCAAAAGGCAAAGACGGGTCTGTGGTCGTAAGGAAGATACTTTATTCAACAAAAATACATCATTTCTACAGTTTTCATGAACATATGAAACTACTATGTTAAAAGTTAAATACTTATTTTGGTTGGTCAACTGTAGGATAAATTGTTCAATAAAGTTTTTCCTAAAATAATAAAAATTGAAACCCAAAACTTCTACCTAAGCAGTTGATGACTTAAAATATTGATTTCCATTCAGACCGCTTCCTATCATTTACATACAACTCAGTAAGGAAATTCATTTCTGTTTTGTGGTCGACCAATATATAATTCAGTGGTTATTTAACTTGTGATTATGAACAGCTCCACCGAACAATCATGAATACTTTAAAAGCAATTTTTTAAAAGAATAGTCAGACATACCAATAATGTTGGTGAAACAAACGTAAGACATGGATTTTCCATTCCACCGTAAGGAAACGTTGGTGGAAGCACTAAGATGTCATACACATCCCACTGATAAGGCCCACAAATATTTTCAGCGGCTGAAATCATCTTTTCCGTCTCACTAAATTCATAAGCTGCTTTATCGACTACACTAGGTTCAGCCCAAACAGATGAACGTGGGCCAATTTTTCTGAAAAACAAACAGATAGAAGTTGAAAATAACCAATTTTTTAGTACACTGCAATTAAGAACTAAGTTGTGTATTGAAGGATATTAAGTCTCACCAAAAGCTAACTGAAATGATAGTGGACCGTGCATAATATTCCTAATCAATTTGAAGAAATAGGGTTAGATCAAAACTTTTGAGTGACTTTTGCTAATTTTTGTCCTTATGATCTGCCCTTTTTAGTCAACTTAGTTTGACCCATCTGCCTTCCATTTTCTTACTTTACACTGAATTTATCGACCTAATATCTCATTGTAAATATCAAATTGTGTAGCACAAAAAAAGTAGTAGTTCATACTAACGTAACTAACAGTTGTAACGACAATCGAGACGATGTTGGTAGTTAGTTATCATTACTTGACCACGTCATTTACATTATGAGATGGGAAAAGTATAGATGGAACACAATCGCAAAGTTGCACTTGGCGCACAGCTGGGCCAGTAAATCAACTGATTTAACATGTGGTTTATTTGTATTAGTGTCTATACTACGTAGTCACATTTCATACGTACCCGATTAATTTGATCGAGGATAGTTTTTCACCATCACTTGGTACGTAAACGGGAGAATGAAACAGATTTGGGACATATTTTAATCTGGTTTAGTTTTGTAGTTGAAAAACCTAAACACTACACAAATAAACACAATCGACTAAATATTGTTAATGGTAGTTAGATTTTCAGTGATACTTTCCGGTGTCAAAGTATTCAGCCAAGTGAACAGTACGAAGACCGTTCCATCCCGGCTACATTTACAGTGATCAGTGATAATGAACGCGAACATATCTATATGAAGTTTATATACAATGATAAGTTTTTACTTTGGTGGAGATATGTTGATAACACTCTAGTGATAATGGATAAGAAGGGTGTCGAAGGACTCCACTCACAAAAAACACAAGTGGATTCAATAAAATTTACTATGGAAATAGAAAATAACTTAGGAGAACTCCCAATGTTAGACTGTAGAATCAAAAGAACAGTAGACAGTAATTTAAATACAACGGTATATAGAAAACCAATACACTCTATAAGATTTCTGAATTACCACTCAGTCCACCCAATCAAGGTAAAACAAGGGTTAATACAGGGTCTGGCAAACAGAATACGTAGGTTAACAGTATGCCCTGGTGACCAACGAAAAGAAATGAATGTCTTATTCAAGATGTCATCAAAGAATTATTATCCACAGCTACTAACAAAAGATGCATCAAGAAGAAGAAACAAAAGTCAACAATAGGAGTGTTGGAAGGCCTCAGATTCGCATAAAACATTCCTTGTTAATCGAAGCATTTTTAATTTGTCATTTTCGCGTCATCTATAACATGACCAGTAGTTCATTTCCCACACCTATTTTCACGGTGATTCGCTGATTGGTTAGTGCTTGCTTCTACTATGTTAATGTTTCAAATTCCGAACAAGGTCATGTATATGTTCACACGTGCTTTTAGGTTGACTAACTATTCTTCTTGGAGGAATAAACTCTCCCATCCATTTCAGTCTTCTTTATTTCGTCTGGCTTGGTGGATCTTATGTACGAAGTTAGCTGTTAGTCAAGAGTGCGTATTCTATGCTCTCGGAATATATAACAAGGAGTCAACAAGATGACTAAAGGAAGATAGTAGTATTACGATAAAAAAGGTGTTAGATATTCTGAGAGGATATAATACGCACACTTGACTGACAGCTAACTTCGTACACAAGATTCACCGACTCTAAGCCAGACGAAATAAGGAAAACAACCTGATGGCCGTATTCCGTGGTGTCGTCACGTGAGCAACGTAGAAGTCAGGAGTAGTTTCGGGGAGAAGAGGTAAGTCGGTTGATGAGGTTGTGAACTTTCATCGACTGAGATGGTTGGGACACGTACTACGTATGCCTAGTCGCCACTTGCCTCGTCATACAATGTTGGCCGAAGTAGGTTCAGGCTGGAAAAGGGCTCGAGACGGCCAGACGAAAACATGGCACCAACGTATGAAGTTTTTGACTGTTGGTTTAAGCCATATGAGGCGATGCAGACTAGGTGGTTGGGGTCCGCGGGACAAGAGGAGTCAGTGGTTGGAGACTCTAGGTGATATGGCTCAGAACCGATGTCAGTAGCGTAGATGTATATACACATTATCCTCATCTTAACATTATACCGAATCTCACCTTTCTCCCATCCCTCATTTCTATCTTTTCGTACTTTATATTTATTTTGACTGAATTTTATTTCCTTCATCTTCCACTTCACTGCCCTTTTACTTGATGTACTGATTTGAAGTGTGCCAACTCAGACCGTTACGCAGTAATGCCTGGTCCTAGGTTGATCTGGATGGATGGTGATGACCTGATGGAAGGATTTATTCTTAAAAACACGTATGCACATATACATGACAGATGATCTTGTCTAGAGTTTGAAACATTAACATAGTAAAAGCAAGCATTAACTAATCAGCGAATTACCCTGAAAATGGGGCAAAAATGAACTACTGGAGAAGCCTTAAAAGTGGCACCAAAACAACAATTTAGAAGTGTTTGAACAATGTTGATTCGGTGCGTATTTTGATCAAATGGAAGTGAATGGGCACTGTGGTAGATTGTATGTAATTGTAGTAGTTGTGTACTGCATACCGATCAGTTGTGTGCTCTTCATGTGTCCAGACAGTTGTGATTTTTCCAGCGGAAACTTGATTTCGTCGTATATTTTTCCCAAGTAAACATATCCCTCATTGATGAGAAAATTATTTTGATCTCTTTTTACTTGTCGAACCGACGCAAAATTGCGGCATGTTAACCAATCTGGGTGTGGTGTATTAGGTTAGACAGTGGCTTGAACTGACAAGCAACTTATAGAAGTTAAGGCGTACTCATTACAGGACCACGTTGCCTCCTATGACATCGCACTACCCACATACAATTTCAGAACTCAACACAAACATCCTATAAAATATCTGAAGATGTCTAATAAAACTAATGAGGATTTTAATCAGCACTCTCTACAGCTAATTTTTCGGTTCACCCTACATATGACGGCAAGTGCCACTCTTTTACCATATGTAATCCACTGAAATGAGATATCATACCAATCCAACTCTTGCATCCTTCACTCTACAACAACACTCAACAAACAAGATAAAGTCATCAGAGTTTGCGCCAACTGATGTATTCTCGCAGTCAAAAGCGCGCCATCACGTTGATTTGACAGACATGTCATATTATAATTACAATGACACAGTCAGAGGCCAATTTCTCTCTAGACTTTCAAATCAAGATTAAGCGCGTTTCAACCGATTCACCATCATTACATGGAAATTATGGCTGGGTACACTCATCAAGTGCATCAGTAACTTCTATGATTCTTTAAAACTGATTGAATTTCACTTAGACCACAGTGATGGGGATATGTGGAAATCTACTTTGGTTATGTGTTGTTTGACGACTTGACTCAAACTACTTACAATGTTTTATGCAGATCTGCAGCCTTCCAACAAAAGTTACATCAGAGGCATTTAAACATTTACGCATTCAAACCAATGAATCTCATAAAAAATAAATTGAACCAACTAAAAAATCCGGTTGAAAAATTGAACAAGAATAAAGCAGTGTAAAAAAAAATATCTTGTGCAGACTGCCCAATAAGCTATGTAGAACATACATCAAGACCGTTGAAATCATCAAAGGTTAACTGCAGGTCAGTTAACATAGAGACAAAAGTACAAAAATTTGGAAAAACGTTCGCTGATGCATAGGACTAAGAAAATGACACTGATTGGAACGTCACTACAATACTAAAGTCCAACAAAAACAAATAGAAAGAAAGATTAATGACAGAATCAATATTTATGCATGTAAAGCATAACACATGCAGCAAGTGACTCAACACAACTATCAACCACATAGAACATTGTATTGAACAAACTGATAAATGAACAATAAGGAAAGACTAAAGTGTATCACTTGTTGGTAAATGTATGCAAAAATATAATTTCAAAAATTCCAACTTGGTGTGATCACGGGAAGTGATTTTGCTCTAAATGTTCAGCGACTTTAAAGACCACTCTAGCAATAATTGGAATAACGAACCAGACTTATTTATTTTATGAAGATCTGCCTTTCCAGCCAAATGAAGAAGCCTAATTAGTTATTTCCGTTTTTGCTAGGGTGGCGTTTGAAGTCGCCCGTAAATATTACTGAAATAAAAAAACATCACTGTGTGTAAATTTTTCATTGGAAATTTATAATGTATTAACCCAGTCCACAAAATTTCCACTGACATATTAAAAAACAGCACTATTGACTAGATAGCCTTTTGAAAATAGTTTGTTGTTCACGGTTATACTAAGGTCAACTTCAAAATCCCTATTTACTTATAAAAAGGATACAAACAGATACATGATCTAAGCGACTACTCTATGAGTTTCATATTCCCTTAAACCTGGAATGATGTAAACATACTAAAAAGTATAGAATAACGACCGCAATGCATTTTTCATAATCCAAACCTTTAGCAGCAGTAAGAAATAATATACCCCAAGTTTGCAGTAATATTTACAAACTTACTTGCTGGCTAGATCTCCACAAGCAATCGCAATCAAATAACTAGGAATTGGAACGTTTTGTTGAAAATGGTAAGTTAAGTGTTTATCGTCAGCCACATATGCGTCAGCAATACGCTTGGCACCCATTACGACAACAGTTTCTTTTGGAGCAGTTATCTTGAACAACAAATAAATAGTATTTGATAATTTTGTATTCGTATACTATCAGCTAATAAAAGACGAAATACTGTTAGATAATGCATTAATCAGGAGGAGTAGAGCATAAGAACTTCCAGAAACATATGGAAACTAACTTTATACTTCAAGATAACAAAGGTGAAGAGTTGCATTCACTGCATTCTATAAAATCAGTCACTAAATTACGGTGGATGATTCATGCACTGATTTGAGACAATACAAATTTGTAAGTTCATTAAACACATAAAACATCCTAAACAACTACAAGTGACTCAACATAAGTTCTGTATTCTTAATTAGAGATAAATACCGATAAGAAAGAGAAGAGGTACGTGAACATTCAAAAGATGATACTAATATAAACAGTTGCTTTCAGAAATTCTGAATTACAGCACAAATTATTTATAGATAACTGTGTAAAGCGAACGTTAAATCTGTAACTGATAACTTAAATTCATCGATACAATAGTAGGTTCATTTACACAACTTCAGAGTAGGTGTTCAGGAAACACTTGAAGTAGTGATACTGGATAATGATTGAAGGCAAAATGAAAATTTGGACTGCGGCGGGATTCGAACCAGCCACCACCAGGTTTCCGACCAGGTGCTACGAGTTACAACGTCCAACTGCTGACCAGTAGTAGTGATTGTATTTTTACAGCAATTAAAATTGTTAGTAATCTATGGAAACTTTATTGACAGTTCGGTACTCCATAACTCATCAAATCAATTGAAAAAAATATAGGAGAATGAAGAAATCCTCTTGGCGACGATTTCATTTCCAAAAACTACAATCGTATTTATATATAGGTTAAAGTGGACAATAACAAAATTGTTTGTGTGTGCGTTTCATTCTTACAAGTGAAATCATAAAGTGCATTATTATAAGTGTGGATAATATTTCATGAATTATCAAATCAATCGGAAAGTTTTGGAAATAAAATCGTCCTTAAGGGAAATTTTTGCTTCATTCTCCTATATTTTTCCAATTGATTTGATGATTTATGAAATATTATTCACACATAATAATGCACTTTACGATTCCACTAGTAAAAGTGAAACACACAAATTTGTTATTGTTTATCTTAAGTTATATATAAATTCGTAAGACAAAATGAATGACATTTTGAAGTTATTATCAGTTCAAATCCTGATGAGAAGTCAAGTTGTTCCGTTAATCATCTATGTTTGATAATCCGTATAACTGCATGTTCATTCAGCATAGTATGTTCTAGACTAAATGAAAATAATAATCCTACTAACTCACAATTCACTTGAAATTGTAAAATTAATTTATGCCAGTATCCTTTTTAAGAATCAGAGACGGAAAATTACACTTTAGCAGTAAAATAGAACATGCTTACCTAGAGCTACTTAGGACTTTAGGATAAGATTCCTTGCTCAATTCAGAGCGTTCTTTATTTAACATATTCCAGCAGTCACCGGAAAATTTGTTTCGTTAAGTATTAAGATCACATTAGTTTTTTCCAAGTGTTATAAAGGATCATCAAAAGTTATATTAAGAACAATCATATTTTCGGGCTTCCCGAGTGTATGCGCTGTAAGTGTCTCAATCTTAACTATAGTTCTTATCAGTGCATGATTGTTGGGCTTATCTATCTTCCAGTAAGGCTATTCGGAACAATGAGAACAAAATTTGCTGACTTCATAGACTTTATAATTCCATAGATAAAGTATTATGAAATAGTGAAAATCCGGAGCGAAATTGTATCACTGGTTGTACCAAAGTGTGAAGACATCGTGATATTTCCTGAGGTTAATTAGCAATCCGCGCTGTTGTTTTTCCCTTATTGAAATGAGTATTTACAAAAGGTTTGTCGATCGTAATTGGTTTCTGAAATAAGGTTTCAGCATGACTTAATCCGACATAAACCTTTAAAAAGGTTGCATGTGACAGGAATCAAACATAGGTCCCTAAGATTCGGTCGAAAAAACTCCCAAGTCAGTAAGACCACCAAAATTAATCCAGTTTCCTTTTCGAGTAGCTTGGTTCACAGGAAAAATGACCACCTACCGAAGTTGGCAAGAATTCATTGTTTACCACCTGTTGAAGCTAGTTGCCGTCAAACTTTATGCGCGAAGACAGCAAATATTACCTTGTTCTACCATGACTAGACATCGACCTAAGTGTCATGTAAATTAGTTTTAGACTAACTTATGAAACTCTGGATATTTTTGCTCATTGATTGCTTTCGATTTACAAATTTAATATTCAGCAGTTATCAGCATTGTTTTGATTCACCTAAATCCACTTCATGTTTTAACTCTATTTATTTTCTACATCTGTTAATCCCTTTATCCATCAGTTGTTCAACTTTCATAAGTTTTTCACCCCAAAATAAGTCAGCTATCACTCTCTGAAATTTACATAAACAGGGAAGTCAAAAAAGAATCAGGTACAGAAATATAAAACTTCAAGTGGTCACATTTTTTTGCAGCACACAAAGAAAAAAGTAGACAAAGTTGATGAAAGAATGTATAGTTAGTCTACCTTAGCTTCAAAACGACACTTCACACTTGGAGTATCCTGGCAAGGTAGAAGACTACGTGCGTGAATAGCCTGACATTGGCTGAACATAAATGGTTGACGACGGTCAGCAGTGAGTTGTGGCTCTAACCACTGAAGAGCAGAGGAGCTCGGAGCAGTTTCGTAGTCAATCTTAACATCAAAACTACAAGAAAAAAAGTGGGAAAACCTAGTACCCGAGCAAACATTTAAAAATAATAAAAATATAGCGGACAGAACAATATACAAAGTTATTATTGTTTCTGAGAGCTAACCTAGAATTTCGTACTGAAATACAACAATAAATTTCACATAAAATAACTGGAAAAGGGATTTAAACAAAAAGAATATCAGTTACCTGCATTCAATCCTACAATTCTCGTTTTAACTTTGTTTCTTAGTTAAAATATACGAGTTGAACTAGTGAGCTCATTTCTGCCCACTAAGTACGATACAGTTTCGGGAGAGAAACAGCACTAAGCTTAAACGAAGTACTGGATCTAGTCTCTTCATTCCACAAGACAACAAATTCTATTGTTAGTGTTTTATCCAACTAGGGGTCAAATTACATTTCTCCGGTGGAAGAATTGTTACGAAAAATCCAACGGATGAATTATGTCCTTAGTAACAATAATTCACAAATATTATGTAAGATATTACTAGGCCATTATTACTATTAATCATTGTAATAAAAACTCGTTCAAAGTAGGATAGGTGCCATGCATTCAGTTACAGAGAAGCAGTACACCACTTCTAGTTAGAAAACATATTCGCAAAATGAATAGTGAGATTGGCCAATATTGAAAATTAAAGCAGTTCGTCTAGTGGTGCGATCGTGGTGTACAACGCCAATGTTACTCAATGCCTATGCACAGATTTACAGACAGCCTAACCGAGTTTAGGTTTCACGGTTTGGGCATTTGGTGAAGGATATTCACTAGGAAATACAAATATCAAAATTATAAGCAGGTACAGACTTGCTTACTAGACTTGTATCAGAATTATACAAACCATCCAGTAGACTAGACCGAAACAGGCGAAGTGTGTCTGATCATGCGACTTGATGGCTAGGATCACGATAATTACTGAACCACAGCTTCATGCTCATTACAAGCCAGCGATTTCAAAATGTCGTAAAATACAGAACATTTGTCGATCAAATTATTCAGTAAATACTAATTTTCTGTTACGATTAGTCAGGTCATTGGCAAGACTATGTGTTTGGTAGTAGTCATTGTGAGGTATCTCATACAGTAAATTGTTACGGAGTTGTCAAAGACATGCTAAAATAGAATTAGTGACAATAATATCCAGTTGCTCTCAAATTAATTCAACAGTTAAAAAACCGGAATGATTTTTCAATTGTGGGGTGAATAACCAACTACTATGAAGTAAAAATTCTTTTTAAATTTTACCTGTTTGAAGGCGTATTCGGTATAATTTCTAGGCAGGACCCCAAAACCTGTACAGAAGTCGGCTTCAAATGCCACTTCACTGGTTCCGAATTTATGTGCACAGCATGAATCTTCAAGTTTCTAGTATCAAGAAGCTGAAATTAGAAAATAAGTATAAAAATAGCACTGTAGCGATGACACATCATTTAGTTCCTTTAAAATCAAAATCTATTGGATATTTAGTCGTAAGATACAAATTTGATACTTGTGAGGGTTTCAACGACATTGTAAGACTAGAATTAAGAGGAGGAATTGAGTTTATATTAGTAAGGATTAAAAGGAGGCAGTTGGATAGGTATGTGAGGAGGCTTAATTAAATTTTATTTAAGAATTTCTGTTATTCCTCTCATGAGTATAAGAAACCAATGACTATTAGGTTAGAATTACCAGTGACTTCGATTTTCAGGTTTATCGGAATTCTATGAAATCTTATTCAGGAACGGCAAGATGGAAACCACTTTTGATTATCTCTTATTTCACATTATGAACTTAATAAGCTTACTTTCATCCGTTAGTTTTATAATCGATATGCGAAACCGAACATTTACAAGCAATACTGGGATAGTGAGGGAAAAATACAAGGAGTTATCAATTATCGGCAGAGTCTAAAGAAGAAAGTAAAACTGCTGGGACCAGAAGGCAGCATACTAAGAACTAAACAGACGGTAGAGCAAGACAAATAAACCAACGAAGAATCGTAAACAAGAGTGTACTGGTTTAAGTTACAACACCATGAGACAGCGCGGAAAGAGAAAGTGAATAGGAATATAATGAAACTAACGTTAACAAATTTTCAATATTTTGAAGATAATAACGAGCGAATATTTCTCGATCACTGCGATTGACTCTTAGTTGTGTTCTATATATATATATATATATATATATATATATATATATATATATATATATATATATATATATATATATATATATATATATATATATATATATATATATATATATACTATACGCTAGGATCACACACGTAAAATTGTACTTTATACGATAATCTCCGTTAAATCTTTAACAGAGATAGATGAGAACATTAACAATGAACATCATTAATGGACACAATCGGATGTCACTACCTAAAATGAAAACCTTCACACAGCTGTGTGAATCCGCGTAGACAGTCTTGATTAGCGAAACGCAATAAATGCTTGACACCCGACACTTATATTCAGTTGCTATTGTAACACCTCAACTGGCAGGGTCGGGTGCAAACTTTAAGTTAAGAACTATAGTATATTAGGCGTCAGTCAATGTGTTTGTACCAGAACCTATTACAGGGACAATACCAAACTAATCTATACTCACCCAAACCTCATGATCACCTGTTTTCCTTGTGTTTTTATTCTCAAGAAACAGTCAGTCGTTAAATAACCTTGAGCCATCTTGTATACTTTAGTCAACATGATTTTTACTTAGGTACCATACGAAGAATTTCCTTTTTTTAGAAACTAGAGTGATCAACAGTCGCAACCAGTTTCGTGGAACTACTTCCAGATTCCCTACGCTGAGTAGGGTTATTCTAACCAGTGCATGCAGAAACCTTTCTAGATAACTTATAGAGAAATATCAAGTACTGCTGCTGTGATTGACTGACAAGATCAACGTAGGACCTCGCACACAGGTTCATCGGATTAAGTTGCCACACTTCACAGTATTACATAAAGAACAGGTGGGTAGAGAAAGAGTGATATCAAAGTAGACGAAGTTGTATATGAGAATAAACAATCTAAAGATAACGGTTAGTGCAAATATTCAAGTTTTAGATTTCGAGTGAATAAATCTGCGCTACTGTTACCGATTTTCAGTTATATCAACAAGAGTCCTCAGCCACTGTTTCTACTGCTGCTGTGCCGCATCCCATGCTTGAAACGGCCTTTTAATATTGATCAATGTTGGAGGACTGACCTTAGGAAGCTTTTACTTCAACTTCAGCCAAGTGGAGTACAACTGCAGTGAGATTACAAGATCGCGGAACTTCTACTTGAATTTTTTTCCTCCAAAGTTAAGGTAGTCTGTACTGAGAAGTCATTACGGGCTGTTTGTCGCTACATAAACAATAACCATCACCTTTTTCAAGTCATTCGCTGTACTAAGCAGATTACTGAATTCTGCACTAATATTTCTACATCAGACTGAATACGATGGGATATTACATTGTGATGAGGATCCCTAGCAGGCACAAGTGAATGCTTAGTTCGAACTGAAGTTTTCATATTTAGTCCAGAGTAGGGAAGCTTTGTAGCTGATATTTTCTTGAGCTCATCCAGGCGCAAAAACAAGTGTCCTGGGATTAATACATGATAAAAGAGCAAGCAGGCACTCTACAAAGAGCGGAAAATTTTGACCGATCCTTTTCAAAGATGGCTTTCATCAATATAAATATGTATATTTTTCTGTACTGCTTAAAAGTAGGTAACTTTAAGTGATACAGTTTACTGCGAGATTTAATGGTATCATGTTTAGTTTTTTTTTATCTTTCTGGGCACTTAAACTATCCTTCTGAGTCTTTTCTAACACTGTAGTTTTTGATCTGGTCATAACACTAACCTACAGCTTTTACGGGCATGTGTTTCTATCATAGTTTGACTGAGTCACAATGATATGAAAGATTCTGTTTTGCCCACCAACAAGGTGAAACAAATAAACGCATTTATATGCCAAGAGTACCATTGAGTAACTGCATTCTAACTTCTACATTAAATATTGTTAAATATTTGAAAGATGTATCAGCTGGCTATCCCTTTGACCGAAGGTTACGTCAGTATACCGAGCAGTAATATATTTAGTTATACCCTAGCCAATCAAAAATTAAGTCAACTTGTTCTTATTACAGATAACTTTACAAACAAAACAACAGGTAGATTTTAGTTGAGTGGAATCAAAACAGGGAAAAATTAAAAATAACATACAATGCTTGGGTTCAGATCACTTTGGCACACTTTTCTTAAATGAAGATTCACTGAGCCATTAATCGTATGTGCAGCGAAATTTATCCTCCAATCAATGTTCAATTTGTCGGTAATATGATTGCTTGGATCAGAATATGAGGACGGATCACTAGCTTTCACCATCCTGGAAACTATTACAAAAGAGCATATCATCATCATTACTGCATAGACCTACCATAAACCAATAAGTAGTGATATATCAATTCAAATAACTAGTATCAGCCAACAAACCAGTTGTTTTCAACAAGTAATCCGGACACTGCTTTAGAATTCAAGTGCACATTACGGTAACTAACAAATATCCACTGAATCAAATTACTGGGAGTACATCAAAGGAGTTTACCAACAAGAGGATTAGTCAAGGCAATCATCACCAACATAGGACAAGGCATTGATGCAAGCATACTTACCAAAGGCCGACACTTGCCACACTTCTTGACTTGTGGTAGCACCTGACTGAAGAAAGTGCCGAGCAAGTAAATAATGCTTACTAAAGCTGTGTACTCGAACTCAAGCAGCCGTGTAAAGGCTTGTGGAGAGTTGTCATCAGAATTGACGACAACTATTGATGTCCACCAGCGATGTCGACTGCCACCGCTTCTGTTCAATTTCGTCATGGACATAACTTTAAGAACGTCTGACTTGACAGGGATTGATCTACTCCCTGGAGGTCATCTGATTGACTTGGAGTATGCAAACGATAATGTCATGCTAGGTGAAGACACAGAAACAATGTGGAGCATTCTGAATGTCTTGAGATCTTTCAGTATGTTTGGTATGCATTTCGCACCTGTCAAATGCTCCAGGACTGGTGTCCAACGACTTGCAGTTTGATTATAGGAAGTGAAGTGGTGGGATATGTATCGACCACTTCACTTAAGGAGTTGTATCAGCCCGAACGGGCTGGTTGCTCACGAAATCTTAGCTGGGATACAGAAGGCCCATTTAGCATTTGCCAATTTGCGCCATCTGTGGCCCCAACTGTCGAGACATCCGACTATCTACTAAAGGACGGGTATACTGTGCTGCACTCCATCTTATTGTACGGCTGTGAGACAGCCATTAAAAATAGGAGACATGAAGAGGTTACAGGTTTTCAACCACATTTGTTTTTGTAGCACTGATTGTATTTGGTGGAATCGCCGTGTGAGCAGTGTTGAGGTCAGGCGAAGGGTATTAGGTAAGACAGGCAGGTCGATTGATGAGTTGGTAAACCTTAGTCGACTGAGATGGCTTGGACAGTTACTGTGCATGCCAACCCACCACCTATTTCGACGTGCTATGCTAGAGGAAGTTAGATTAGGTTGGGAGAGGGTTCAGGGTAGAGAGACCGAGACGTGACATCAAACAATGAAATCCATGGCTGTTTGTTTGAGCTGTAGGCGAGATGTTAACTGCTTGGCCGAGGCCCATGAGATGATAGGAATCAGCGACTGAGGATTCTTGGGGACATGGCTAGAAATTGGCGACAATGGTGCAGATGTATTCACTTCTTGACTTCTTGTAAAGCTTGAGTATTTGCACTAACCGTTATCTCTAAATTGTTTATTCTCTCACATAATTTTGTCGATTTTGACATCAATTTTTCTGCTCACCTGTCCTTTATGTAATATCGTGTGTGGCAAATTGAACCGATGTACTTGTGTGCGAAGCTCTACGTTGATTCTCTCCGTCTGTCTGCACTACTGAATAGAAGTTCAAGTCGTCATACGTCGTATCAGTACATCAAACAAGAAAGCACTAAGATGACATATAAAGGATTAGACAAAAAAGCAATCGGTGATAAAGCATTATGATGAGATAACAACGGGAATAAGAAAATACTGAATTCAGTATGACTATTAGGATAATATGTGGATACATCTGCGTCGCTGAGATCGATCCTAAGCCACATTCATTAGTCTCCAACCACTGGTACATGTTGTCATCCGGACCCCGACTGTGAAGTTTACACAAGGAAGACGCTCGCTAGAAATAAAAATCCACTCAGCGACCTTGTGTAAATTCGTGTAGTAGGTAATGAACTACACCTATTGTGTGAGGGCTAATGATACAGACTGGTTGATAGGTAGTGTTCGAACCCGTGACCCACTAGTTGAAAGTCAACTCCTTAAACCAATGAGCCACTTCACAAAACAGTGACCAGATATGTAGAACACATCCCAGCCACCCGAGTCAATGCAAGTCCACTACCTCACCAACTAACTTCCCTCCTCTGTCAAAAAGCCTCAGTCAGACTTTCCGCTACTGATATGTAGGTACCATGAAACAGACTAAGGTGAGAAAGCAACGGTGGTCGAAAACCTGAAGCCGTCTCATATCCTATATTTTTATTAGCCGTTTTACAGCCATGTGTCAGAACAGAGCAAACTGCAGCAAAGTGTACTCGATCCTAAATAGACAATGGGATAACACAACACAACCATAAATGGCATAAGTTGGAGTAAGTCAAGTAGGCTTTTTGCATCTGTGTAGAGATTTCGTCGGTCACTGACTCACCAGGGTTGATGCAACTTCTTACGTAAATGAAGTGGTTATGTTCAATCACTTCATTGTCCATTGTTAAACAAGGCTTCAGAGTAGATCAGTCCTGGAGAAATAGTTTGTATTTGTGTGCCGACAAACACATCGTAAACATTCTCGATTTCCCACTCAAGGTATCCAGAAGACTTTACATCCTGTCATTGTCTTCACCTAACAGGACTGTGTCTTCTGAGCAGTCTAGGTCTACTAAAGATTCTCCTGATACCTCTATAAGTATGTCTGTGGTGAAGTCGAATAAGAATGAGGAGTGGACATCCTTGATGGATACCGCTTGACGTAGATAAATCACCATAAGCTCTAACATGCCTACGGCTGTTCGAGTAAAGAGCTTTTAAAAGGATGAGATACATCAAAAGAGTGAAGTGATCCCTAGGCATCCCTTTAAGTGGAAATCAATGCCATAAGAACTCTTGGTCAACGGAGTCAGATGGCATCATCAGGTCGAAAAATATAGTTAGTTTCAGGAGCCAGTAACTGGGTCTGCGTTTCGGAGTGTGACAGGCTGAATATGTGGTTGAGGCACGCACGGGGAGACCTGAAACCTACCTGGTTTCCTCGGGTTTTCTGTTCTCGAGATTCACTCAGACATCTAGTGATTACAGAACCTAAACACTACATATTCATCAGGTTGATTATCCTGGGTGATAACCAAAAAGATTTCTCCCTTTTCTTGAAGACCGAATCAATCAGTGATTGAGACCAGTCAGAGGGGATCATATCTGATTTTCATACATTAGCTAACGCTTTAGCTAACCTGAGGAATAGCCTGAGACCGTCATGCTTGAATACATTCCGTGCTAGTCCATGTGGTACTGCTGACCTTCCTCGTTTCAGATTACTTAGAGTCGATTCAACTTCGGTGTGAGCAGAAAGACATATATTAGTGTTCCATTTAGGATCTAAGTAGATAGCCGGCAATGGAATAGTAACTGGAAGTCAGACGAACTGTTCCTCGAAGTGATTCGCATATCGTTCTAGTCTCTTTTGTGAGTAAAACCACAGACCTATCCTTCTACGTTATAGTCTAACTGATCATTCACCTTTTTGCCCCAGTTTCGCTGAAAAGTCTAAATGACTTTCTGGTTACTTAAGACAGTGATTTTTCTCGTCTTGTTTTTGCTACCCATTACTATTCATGGTCATTGCACAAACTTTTTGTCGGTCTACGTGAGTTGTTTGTGCTACTCACTGCATCCGGAGCCTGTGGGGCTGATCGTCTGTATCAATTAAACCAGCAGAAGCTGCTGAGATCCACTGTGTGTGTGTGTGTGTGTGTGTGTGAGAGAGAGAGAGAGAGAGAGAGAGAGAGCTATACACAGTTTCCAACACTGATTTTAAAGCAAACTGAAGATTCCACGAGGCTTTTGGACGAGTGATGTTATTCTGTATCAATAACTGTCTAGCCAATTTCTACTGAATCATAAAGAAAACCTATACCTAAAATAACCTTAACAGTAACGTGAATTCTACTGAGAATATAATTTCCCAGTGTTTGCCAAAGCCATTATTGCAAATTGCTTAGAAACGGCTTCATTATTGCATGATCTAAACGTGGGTGCCATGGTAGAGTATAATTCTACACTAGATTGTTTATTGATGTACCACACAGTAGTGTATTATTTATTAGATGACGTTTCGAGCAGAATTTATTGCTCATATTTATATCAAGGTAATCGAGCGACTTTCAGACTTCCTTAATATAGTCTTTTATTTTAATAGTAGTGTTGTTGCCGCATAAAGATACATCGGGAGCTACACAGAATTCTTAACAACGCTGGGGTCAGAGTGGCATTTAAGCATACAAACCCGCTAAGAAAAAGTGTAGGCCAAAAGATCCGGTAGGGCCAATTAGGAAGAACAACCTAATCCATCAGACACGATGTAATGATTGTGAGGTTAGGTATGTAGGTTAAAGCAGACGACTAGGGTCAGTCAGAACAGCGAAGGACAAAATTGGTGAAGCATACAATATACAGACCATACTGAGATAAGTAATTTAGAGAAAAACTCGGTTGTTGCTATGCATGCACTGACCCATGATCAAACGATAGGCTGGGATAGTACGACAATTCTAAAATCCAATCTTTGCTTATTAAACCAACACCTAACACTTGTAACGGGAATGACTCACCATATATTGCAGATGACTGGAAACTTTTACTACCATTACAATAAGGAATGGACGGTAGAACTATATAAATGAAGTTTGAAAATCATACGATTGCTTTGATGTGAATATGAGCAATAAATTCTGCTCGAAATATCACCCAGTATATAATATTTTATCATTGTGTGCTATACTAAATAAACAACCCAATGTAAAAGCTTCATTCGGAAGTAGATCCGTTGTAGATTTCTTAACCTTATTCATAGTGCCCACTGATTTTTTGATTTCATCGTACGGTCCTGTATCTAAATGTTCAACTTACTGAGTGTCATCAGATTTGCTTACAACCACTAAACAGTAGCCTTTCCCAACCTTTTAACTACCGCATCGTTACAACATCGAACGTTCTTCAAGGCTTACATTTCTGGTTTCGGTATATTTTTACTTTTGCTGTTGTTCGGGTGCTACGGTACATTCGGCTTACACATCATCCGCAATAGGATTATCTTTTAAGATCAATACTGTTCATTGCAAAAAGTTAAGAAGGGACATAAAGAAACAATGAATGATGAAATCAGGATACTGGACACTGTTATGAACAAGGTTAAGAAATCTACAACGGATTAAATACACCGAATGAAGCCGATTCCAGGCGAAAGTTAGAGTGATGGTTTACTTTAATAGCTGAGACTACAATTCCCAGTAGGATTTATGGTACTGCTAAGGACGATGAATCATATCTTATCAAGTTCATAGGTTTGAAAAACACTCCAATGTGAGTTGTCTACGTATTTACCGATGTTAGATTAAATTCGAAACTCTTACGACTTACAGCATAGACTAAACGACAGTTAAAAAGGTTCGTTTTCATGTAACCAGCCTTTACACAAATGTACTGGTCGACATGGATCTGGTTGCGGTTATAACTGCATTCAATAATGACCATGAACTAACGCTTCGAATTGAGGTAACAGTCAAGATCATGCAACGAAGTTTGCCACTTTTAAACTTAAGAAGCTACCATGCTATCATTAATATCTATCTTTGCAGACATACTTATGGGTGATTAGAAATGAGTCGTCCCACTCTAAAAATATGGTGTCACATTTACAGTGAAATACATTCTCCAGTGGACGGAATTCAATATACTTATGAATTATAAAGTGATAAAAAGGAGTTAGCTACATTTGGTTCCGGCATAAAGTAGGGACGAGAAGGGAGTTTGATAGGGAACCTTCCAGCCAACGGAAACTTCAAATTTTAGAGTTTATACAGTTCCAGTTTTCTTTTGTCCTTTGAGGGGTGCTAGACTTCTCCATAAATCTGAAACACATGCTGGATCTTTTCTACTGCATGTCTTGAGTTGATTGGATAAACAGAGATTGCCATTAATCTCTAACTCCAATCAAATACTCTAACTCCCCGAGCTATCACTCTCCATGGTGTAGTTGCAAACGGCGATCTCCAAACTCCTCAAGATACTAGATTCGATAAGTTCTGATATAGTCAGGTCTATGCTCGGTTGGGCTAAATGATGTCCATCGACTACTTTGACCAACCAAAGTGATTTGGTGAAGTATTTTACATGGTTGCCTTAATAGATGATTGTAGCTTTCTGTTGTAAGGTAAGTTTGTAGTTATAATAACAGTCCAACTGGGGATCTCATGAAGATTCTCTAAGATAGCTTTCTTATATGGTAATACAATTGTTCTGACTTTTTTTCCTTGTTCCATCCTGTCAATTACAACAGGATTATTAAATACCACAGAGTGGTACATAGTCTGAGGTCGAATACTTATTCACAGAGAGTCTATAAAAGCTATAAAAATTTCGGCACAAACGCCTTACCATAACGAATGGAACAATATGCAAGTCGACGATGGAGCACTTCAGTCACGGTCAAAAAGGATGAATAACCTGCAGGTTAAATGTGAATGTTGATGAACTTCCTGAATGAACGAAAACATACAGTGGAAAACAGACATATCAGCACGGCGTAAAATGGACGGTCTATAACTTGATAGTAGGAAATGTAAACATGTTTACATTCAACTGAGATAACAATCTTTGCTTTCGGTTGAGTAATTTTTTACCTTTGTAGCAAGGAGTAAATGGAGGACAAAAAAAGGAACTTATTACATAAAACTTTTTTCCAGGCATATAACCTACCAACTACTTGGACACTAACAAGACGCTAGCTCCACCAACTGACCCTAGCCTCACTGACCCAAAACTCGCGCGTTCAAACTTCAAACGTTGTGTTGTAGAATTATTGCCGGTGGTTCCCTTTTTCTACGTCTGTCTTGCTTATCTGCATGGTTTTGAAGGACCTGAAAGGACAGAGTCATAATCGATTATTTATTTATCTGGTCTGAAGATGGCATTACTCATGATCTGTAGATGACGGAAAGCTTCTCAAGTACAGACCATCGGTACCACAAGACTCTAAATGTGTGTCTAACCTACCTTTGAAAGAATCAGGGATGGGGCTCTAACAACTTCGGAAAGAAGAGAGTTCTACAGTTTAGAAACTCTAACTGCAAACTTATTACCCCGGGGCCTTGTATGTACTTAGTCCTGCTCTTTTCCTGGTGGTAAAACCCCAAGGTGGCGTTTCTGAGTAAAGCTTGAGAGGAATCCTCTAAGATAAAGGGAATTAAGGGCAATGTGGTTCATCATGAACACATCCCTTCTGATCATCCAGTAATGTACTGGGTGCAGCTTAAGAGCAACTAGGCCATCCAGATGGGGTCTGTACCACAACCAAATCACTTTCTCCGTTGTCTTTCTCTCAACTTGTTCTAAGATGGTTATGTTCTCGAAGTGTGAAGATGTCACGAGCCAGTTTCTTCCAAGATGAGGGTGAATATAGAGTTCATTCACAGTGATGAGAAGGGCAGGAGCTAGACTCCCTAAAGTTCGCAGAATAAATCACAAGACCCTACAGGCCCTGGTGGCTGCAAGGCGACAGCAGACCGAAGCTTCGAATGCGTCACTTAAAGTAACTCCTAGATCTTGTTCCATTTTTGAGTGGCAGGTTTTGTTTCACCCAAGGAGTAAGAACTGGGACTTTTTAAACTTGTCAACCATCATTATCTCATACCTCTTCGAGCTGAGAGGTTGTAATCCAATTTAGGATTTTTATGATGTCGTCCTGGAGGACCGAAATATCCAATGGCACCTGTAATCCCCCAGAATCTTCTGATCATCGGCATACAATAGTGAATGAGAACTGAAGTTTCCTAGTGTGTCATTGACGGACCCAGAACATAACATCGAGGCACACCGTTCAGCATCAAGAACCAATTAGATAGTGAGGAGCCAACTTTGACTGACTGCGACTGGGTATGCAGTCAATCTCTGGGCCAAACTAGCAATTTTACGCTTGCGCCAGTAAACTGAGGTTTTACGCAGGATGTCATGAATTACCCTGACAAAGGCCTCAGTAAAGTCAAGTAAGCCAGTGTGGCACGCCTTTTCTGCTCAACGGAGAGCATCCAGATATCGCAAGCTATCGGCAAGTTGGCGTTACATGACTTCACAGGTAAAAAGTCATGTTGACAGTCATTTGGGATTCAATTCCTAAGTGAGAAATCACGAAGTGAGTCATTTATTACTCTTTCCATGACCCTGACAATCGAAGAGATCAGGAATATCTGTCTGTAGTTAGAAGCAGTTGGTGTGCTTCCACTTTTGCTTTCTGGGACGACAGCCCCCCGTTCCCAATCAGAGGGTAAGCTGCTTCCTAGAAACCAACATCTGAAGAGGTTTGCCAGTGGGACACTCAGAACTTCAGCACACTCTTTTGGTACTCAAACTTCGTGTTGTGGAATTAGTGAACAGCGGTTCCTTGGGTTCTGCGTCTGTCTTGTTGGAGTACTTTCTGGGTTTGGAGTGGTCACAACTATCTCCCCGTTTCTGAAAAATCTGAAAGGATAGGGACAAGTGATTGTTAATTAATCTGGTCTCATGGTAGTAGTATAGCACCTGATCTGCAGATGGCGGAAGGCTTCTCGAGTACAGCCCATCAGTACCGTAGGACTCAAGGTGTGCGTCTAACCTCTTTTTAAAGTATCAGGGGATGGGGGCTGTAACAACTGCTGGAGGAAGATAGTTCCTTAGTTTACAGACAGTAGCCACAAATGAGTTAGTACGGACTTTCGTATGTGCTCTCTTATGCTCTATTCCTAACGGGTGACCGATCAGGTCGCGTTTCCGATTAAAGCTTAGAAGGGATCTGTTAAGATGGAGAGGAATATGGAGGATGTGGTACATCATGATAACATCCCGTCTGATCCTCCAGTATTGCACTGGATGAATCCTATCAAGTCCTGAAGATTCATCTTGTTTCAAGTTCTTTAGGATTCCCCCAATCATATAACATTCAAACTCTGTGTAACTTAACCCCTCTGTAATATGGGGGTCTGACAGGAAGACAGTTGTCTGCCAAATTGGCAGGAGTCGTTGTAGCGGCCAGAATCCAATAATCTTGGCCTGAACGCGGGAAATAGCTAGGCGGTGCCAACTGACGTGAATCTGACTAGTTCCTGCGTTCTACTGTATAGCTTCCTAACTTCCGCGAGTGACGCACAGTCAAAGGTTGGATCGAAATATCAAAACACGGTTTGTAGTAATTCAATAGTAGATTCGTAACAAAATCTGTGGTACTATCAAAGCAACAATAAGTTATGTCAAATTACAAAAATACCTCAACAGTGCCGTTGGGTAACTATACAGTCCAAAACGTTCTCGGGTACAAATACGTACTACACGGTAAAAACTGGTTAAAAAATACAACTGTTAAATACCTGTCGGTCAATAGGAATATTCCCGGCAAAAGGGATCAAAACTCTGCCTACAGGAATCAAATCAACAAACAAACGTTCCCAGTAGACAGTCAAAAGACAAACAGTCAAATCACTGCACAACCGTAAGTTGAACCAAAACAAAATGTCGTGCGCAGTAAAACAACATCACCTTATCAACAGTCCAGCGTCACATAATAGGAAAGTGAAACACTCATAATAAGTCTCAAACATACAAAGGCAAATACCGAGTGTAAAGTCAAATAAGACAGTTAAACAAGCAAATAACATTACACCGGCGAGGGTCAAAGGTACACCATCCATAACGAGGGTAAAAATGTTAAAATAAATGTCAATACAATCAAATAAGGGTGATCGGGAGGGATTTTCAGATCATTTTTCCTTTACAGTCGTTTCGAAATCCCTGAGCTAGTAGCTTTGGCACCTCGTAATTAGTGTGAAGAATCCCTAAACTACTGAAGTCCTACATACCAAGTGAACTGTTACTCACCTGTTTCATCAGCGAGTATAGTATAGCATGATTCCCCTCACGGGTCCCATATATTTGTGTGTGGTAGTTTGCTCTGTCATTTCCAATTCTCATGGTACACATATCACGGATGTTTTTGCAACTTAGCCAGCCAATAGAAATATTGGCGACCCTCCACTGATTCCAGGATGACCATTTATGCTACACAGGTTTGCGCGTGATTGGCTTAAGTCAGGAGAAGTAAGCCTTGTTGGTTCTCCGTGGAATAGCAGGGGTGTTATTATTCATCGTTTGAAGGATCATATCCTCCAACAGTTCCCATTTGGAATCGGGATCTGGCAGTTCATCGTATTTTGGGCACGTGGAACCTTCTAGGTCTTGTCCGATCTTTTCCAAGTCAGCTCTGCTATAATTCCTAGCCAATGGTTGATCAGGGGTATGTGACTTAGGTTTAAAGGTGTTGGGGAATGCCACTGCAGGGTCACTCAATCCAAGATTACCAAGAGCTTTCAAGTTGGTTACCCCAATGAACTCACTGATAAAAATACAATCAATTCGGGATATCCTGCCATGAGACTCCCGGCCAGTAAGCTAGGAGACCAGTTCACTCAGTGAGTTTTCCAATAATAATTCTCAAAAATCTCTTGAATCAGCAGATGGACTATCATTAGTGGGGAAATGAGGGAGGTTAAAATCTCCTATAATGGAGACGTGTGGAAAGCTCAGTTCCAGGGCTTCTCTAATAGTTTGTACCAACATCTTATTCAACGTGACAATGGCTCCGGGAGAGTGCTATGTAATTCCAACCAAACAGGTAGCTCCACAGCACACAATGCTGCACCAAATTATATCTTTGTTGCTCATTCTGTGGGACCAAATCTCATGGGGTTTCAAGGAGGGGTGGGTGTGAAGAGCAATGCCGCCTCCTGAACCTTTGATCTGTTCTTCTAGATTGAGTTGGGCTGTCCCAGATGGATTTCTCCATCTTTTATGTTCTCTGTGAGCTTCGTTTCACAGAAGGACCCTATGCAAGGACTGTCATCATCAACTAATAACCGCAACTCAGGTATCTTGGGGTGCAGGCGAAAGACATCTAAATGGGTACAGTGAAGGAGAACATGAGTACCAGAGGCCTCAGGAGCAGGTTAAGTCAAGAATGTATTGCGACAATTTGGAAAACCGGTTTTAGCAAGTTCGCACCGATAAGGAAGCGGAACCAAGGGTTGCTACATTAACCAACCTACCCACTTGAGAACTCGTCTAGACTACTTAAAACCAGGACAAGATGGATATGAACACTTGTTCATCAACTAACCATAAGATGGTCAGATGTGGCGTAAATCTCCCCTCAATCTGACCATACGTCCCAGGTTCGCGCTGTCTTATCTTGATATTTCTGAGGTAGATATCCAATTTATTGTACTTATGTAGCGTCACACACTTCCCCAAATTCAATAGCCTGGGGTTTGACGACTTTCGACATTAATGCTGACCTTGATAGTTTAACTGCACTCGCTAAGCTGAAGGCACCCGGTCAAGCATCCTGGCCATTTGACACGCTGTCGTGTTACGTTGCACTGCTCGTATTCGACTCTCTAGCCAGTTAGTTGGAACGCATCGGTATTTTGGCATAACCATCCAAATATACTATTCCATCCGACTACGCTATCGTGTTCTTCCTTGGTCTCGTATTCGTGGGTATATAACAAGTTCGAATAATTAGTGATTGGTCTTTGCATCTGTCAAGTTCGAACCAGGACAAATCCTAAATTGGTGAGTCCGACGTGATCACACATCCGGACCAATAACAAATATTGAATTGGTGAGCCTGTTCCATTTTATATTTGTTTGTTGTTTTCACTTCGATAACATTTATATATCCATTTACTACACTTTCTCATGTCCGACCACGCTCCCAAGCTTATTCGTATTAAGCCGACCTC